GAGCAGCTGCTGCTCAGATACTTTAACACTATCCAAACCAGTGGTCCCTAAAACCAGGACACTCCTGGTTTTCTGGAAAGGTCCATTTGTACACTTTACTGTAATGTTGGATAGTAGAACATTCTGGAGTGTGTTACTGTAGTTGTAGCTGTGAGTGTGTCCAGAGAAGGTCGTAGCAACGGGTGTTCAGTTTCAATCCCAAAAATACATCGCAGGCAGTTTGTGGGGTATTAAGAGTGATAGAGAGAAGGCCGGTGGGTGGGGGCTATAGATAGATACACTTTTTATACACACACAAACACACACACACATATCTGAGCCCCTCCCGGGAGTGAGGCATACTGAGAGCTGTTTGAGGAAAGGACAGGTGTTGAGGCCAAAAATCAGGGTGACTTCCATGTTTGTTAACTCTGGATTCCAGTCACCGTTCTGGAAGAGTGGTCAAAAATATTTATGCACACAGTTTAGAGCTGAAGTGTTACTGTGGGGGTGGTGTTCTTTGGTTCTGCTGCCTCTCCTCTTCTACAGCAGCAAAATCTCTCCAGTATTTATCTTTGAAACAAATGTATTTTACTCTTGTCTCTGTGGTTATTCTGGCATCAACAGACCAACAAATTTCTTTTGGAAATTAGATATTTTTTTTACATCAGTCAATATTGTTGTATTCATCAGAATAACTACACCAAACAAATGCAGCCTGTTATAAGGACTAAAGGCTAGTACTTTTCAGAGGGTCCTCGCTTTACGACATCCCTGACCTACAAAGTTTCGTGCTTATGTCCCCATGTCCCATAATGCTATTTCCAAAGTCTTGTTCCATTATTCTGAGATACAGCGTTAAAACAGATTTCGCACAGGAACTAGTTGGCAAACGGAGCTGCGATATCAGGCTGTGATATGCGCGGAAGACAGCTTTGTTTACGTTCACCCGTTGTAGCCCATACCATGGGTTGTGCTACATTCACTTTCTTTCATTTCTGTTGTTATTGGGAACTTTTTGTCCTTCATTACGGCTCCAAAGTGTAAGTCAGACTCTTCTGATGTTTCCATGTCCTACATTATGACGTTACCACTGTGTTAGCATAGGTGAACGACAGATGCACTTATGTGCAGTATGCAAGTTCCGACTTACGGAGAAGATCGAGTTACGTCACGCTATGTGAATGAACTCGGTGAATGGCAGTAGGCTACAGGTTGCAGCCAACAACAGCTCTTCTAATTTTGTTTCAGCTCCCCCTGCACATCCTGCACATATCAACCCTACATCATCTAAACACCAGTCTTCATTGTTTTCACTAAAAATAAATATTGACGCTTTTGTACTGTAGATAAAGGCCACCCATACTGTATGTAAGGGGCATGAATATGAAAAAGTGACTACACAGTTAACTAACAAGTAACTGTGGTAGGATTTCAGGGTGTGTTCTCTTCCTTTTAGACTTTCATCCATCTGTAAAACTCCCTAGCTAGCTCTTTGGCTGCTTTTTGCATTTGGGCTAATATTTAGCTCCATTTGCTACATTGTAGGTATTTTGGCCTTACTTTGAGGTTGTGTTGTTGGCTAATTTGGCTGCTTGATTATTTTACAGTATTTTATTGATAATTTTCATTCATTCATTTTGATTGGTTTGGCTTTGGCGTTTGTTGTTTGTTTATTGGCAGAATTGTTGCCTCGTATGCTAAACTCGTAGAGCTAAGATGTTCATTTGTCTATATTATTTATTTATAATTTTTGGCCACCTCTTAATTCAAAGCTTTCTCTGGTCTATTTTTTCTATTTTGACTTTAGTTTAATTATATGCAATGTTTCTTATTCTTGGGCAGATTTGAATGATCCTATTTTAATAGGATATTTATTATTTATTTAAGTTACACATTTTGGATTATCTTATCTTGGCAAATTCTGAACATTTTTATTTAAGTTACATTTTATTTAATTGTAATTTATTACGTATGACATTTATGGCACATTTTAAGACTTAAGTCTTAGATGCTGTCAATCATATCAGTAATGATTTCCGAACCAAAATTTATTTGCAATAGCAATTCAACAAAGGCATTTGTTCTGCACCAAATACACTTGTTAAAATGCAGTGCACTTGGTTATGATCTCAAGTGTCACTGGAAGAACAGCAGTTGGTCCTCGGGTATTTTTACATCATCAAATCATGAAGGCCATCTTGGAAAAGTTTGGGCGGCCCCTGAGTTAACCCTACAGCTAACATCATGACAGAAATATATTGGAATCTAAAATCATATAAATGCAAAAATAACAGTTTCAGGTCACGGGCTCATTTTAAACCTGTTTCCTTCTGGTTGTCATATAAAGTTAAAGAGCAGGAGGAGAGGAATGGTGGAGGACAGCGTGCCAGCAGACAGACAGCTGAAGCCTCTGCTCCCCTCCTCCACCTCCTGCTCCAGCCTTCACAGGGAAACTGATACCCTGGCCTTCCACCACACCACCGCCAGCAGCAGCAGCAGCAGCAGCAGCAGCAGCAGCACTGGTCTGAATCAGCTGTTTCAGCATCCGCCCCATGCTGCAGCCACTGCCCCACCCCTACCTTAACCACCACCGCTACTGCTTCAACACTATGGGGTGTTGGACTGTCAGGATGGCTCTACTTTGCTGCTGCAGCATGTAAATATCCTCCAGTCTGAGATTTCCTCTAGTTTATTTTATCTTATGTAAAATAAAAATAAAATTTTTATTTTGCACCAAAAAAAACTGTCATCAAAAAATAATAATAATTAAAAAAAGCAAGTGCAATATAAAAAACTAGGACTGTGAAATGGGGCTTTTGATGAAATCAAAACTTTTTTTCCTGCAGTGTGTGCAAATTACAATAAGTGAAGGAAATGTGGAATTATTGTATTTACAGTGTGAGACATTTGGCCCAAGCGTGAAGTGCTTTAATGTGATAACTTTTAAACATAATTATCACAGTCATGTGATCTGTTGAGATTGTTATTATGTGTTTTTTTAAGGTGAATTTGTGGAAACATTTGAAAAATTTGAAAAATGTAAAAATGTGATGACTGCCTGCAGTACCTCTGCAGAATCTCTAGGGGCCATGTACCTGTAAGTCTGCAGCAAAGGTGTGGGTGAAGACACAATTGTCTCATCCAACTGCTGAACATGGACCACGGCCTCTTCCACAGAATAGACTCCTTTGTTATCATTGTTAAAGATCAGTGAATTTAAATTTGATGTTTTCGTAGCTTGGATCAAATCAGAGACAAAAAAAAACCATAGAATTGAACAGATATCACACCCCGATAAGAGAGAGTTCAGTGGTGGATATTACTGAGCAGTTTTTCAGTTTCTATCTCTACACAGTGTGTGTGTGTGTGTGTGTGTGGAGACTGGTGAAGAGAGAGTTGTCACCACTGTCTGCAGCTAAAAATAGCTGCTCTGTCTGAGACAGAGGATGATGTCACTGTGGAGCAGATGTGCTGCACAGCCATGTCCAGTCAACATAGATTAATAATTTAGAAATCCATAGACAAATGAACATGAAACATTGACAGAGTCAGAGCTACAGCAGCGGACTGGGTCTGAGTGTAGTTTGGATTCTGATGTGTGATAGATGGGGGAGTGGGAGGGGGAGGCACTGAATTAAAATGTCTACCAGCCTACGCCTGTGCTCCACCCTTCTCCTCCTGACAGTTTGCGTGTCAATTTCTCACACTCATTGTGAGTAAAAACAAGAAATCTCTCATCACTAGTGTTTTCTCTGCGCGCAACAACAGCAAGGAGAAGAGAGAAGAGAGAAGCTGCCGGAAAACACACGCAAACACACACAGTCCAGGCATGTTAAGTGAGAGTTCCCTGGCTTTTCTGTGAACACAACAGGCTTGAGCTGAATTATAATATTATAATAATAATAATTATTATTATTACTATATTATTGGTTATATTGGTTTAAAATGACAACTATCCCTTTGATTAAAAAAAATTCAGGCACGGACATTTTAACTGTTTAAGTTAGTGTTGTTCAACCTTGGGGTCATGACCCCATGTGGGCACCCCTGACAGTCACAGATAAGTCACTGCTGAGTTTTTAAATTAATGTTGATTAGCTACTACACCCAAAAACAAAGGCTGTTTTTTAAGGCAAGGACAAAATTTTGCTTGGGTTTCAACTTCTGGTCAACTTTCTGTTTTATTAGAAAGAACACGCTGTACTCCAGCTCGGCGGTTATTTACTCAGCAAAGCGCACTAATAAAAGAAAAGAGAATCTGCTGAGGAAGAACTATCTGACCAGTGTAATGCATAAAACATCACGTCCAACAATAAGGACTGGAAGTGATTTTTTTTTTTAATTGGACCGTGGAAACTTAGGACAGGGTGAGTGGAGGGAAGACATTTGATACCAGATAATGTGATATTTTAATTTGTAATTTTACTCCAAAAGCCAGAACAGGACGTCTGCGTTTTGCATACAAATAAAACGGGACCTGCCTGGACATGCTGTGTTTTTGTTTGTCACATTAAAACTAAGGAAACAGAGAGAAAGTTCCTTGTTTAAAATATCCAGTTTCTTCTCATCTGGGCCACAGCGTCGGTGGGAGGTTTGGATAATAAGTCGGTCTGACAAGGTACTGCCTGTCAGACCGACACAGGAACACCCAAGGACTTTCCAACAGCGGCTCTGTTGATGTTATTATGTGACATCTGAACACAAATGACCTGACAGATCAAATGTATAAGTGCATGAACTTCTTTGCAAAAAAAGATTGTCATAAAAACCTGCTCTGCTTCTAAAACACCTCAGCTGAAGCTGAGGAAAAAAGGAATAATAAACACTGGGTTTGTTGGATGCTTAGTTTAGTTATATTTGAACAAAACTGAAAGAAATTAGATTGAAGTTCACTGAAACTAATGCATGTAAAATTAGGGTTATTAAAGTTTTTTTTTTTTTAAAAAAAGGTAATATGGAAAAGTTGTCTTCATTCTTTAAACTAAGTCAAATGAAGTGAAGTGAAGGCGGCCCCTTACCACTTCAGAGATGTGGTTGTGCCTCAGGTTCAGTTCAGTTAAAGAGTCCAGGTTGTGCAGATTTTCTACTTTGACGATGTTGTTTCCTGCCAGGTTCAACGCTCGCAGCTCACTCAGGCGAGACAGGTTTTCTATCCTGCAGATCTGTGTGAACGGACAGAACAGAGACCAATTTTTACATTCAAAGACACCAGAAATTCTTATCATGACACGTTCACTTTCTCTGTTACACCAACACAGCTCATCATCAGATGAGTTCACTGTAGATTTACACAGCCTTAACAAGAGTTTTTGTTGTTGTTGTTTTTTGTACATTTCTGACTCTCTGTCTTTTAGAGTTTTAACAAAAAAAACATGTCTTTATTTTATGGAGTGATTCAGGCAGGAGGGACACTGAAGAAATAAAGAAAAAAAAAAGAAGCAAGGGGACAAACAGGAAGCTGAGTCACATATGCACAAAACCCCTTCAAAATAAAATAGGAAACACAAAGACAATACAGCATATGAAACATAGGTAACCAGCTCACTGATCAATAATAATAATAATAATAATAACCCAGAGTGGGCAGCTTTAAGCACCAGGGGAGCAGTGTGTGGGGACGGTGCCTTGCTCAGAGCACCTCAGTGGTGGACTCGAACCTGAAACCTTCTAGTCTGTGTCCTTAACCACTAAGCCACCATTGCCAACCCAATAATAACTTGGACACAAAATACCCTTAACCACTAAGCCACCATTGCCCCCCCAATAATAACTTGGACACAAAATAGCCTTAAAGAAATGAGTCCTAACAATGGTGAAACTAGACAACATTCAAGGTTAAAATTCTGTCACAGAGTATTTCAGATCAAGGGTCGCAATAAAAATGTGATTGTCACTCGAATGAGACGTAGAGTGGATTCCTGATGATCTGTGTTTCAAGAATCTAAGTGCACTCACTTCCAGAGGGAATATATATTTTTGACTAGTGAGCTGGAAGCCACTGAAGGTCCTACAGAGATAAATGAGTGATGTGTGAAGAGTGTGGAAAGTACACGAGCGGAGCGGAGAGCCGCCGAGATGAAAGGATGACAGTGATGAAGCACGTGTGGTGAAATCACGCACACACAATGAATGAGGAGCAGCTGCTGCAATGAGGCCAACAGAGACCGAACAACAGCCTGAGTGGGTGGAATCACTTTCATCTAATATTTATTCATTCCTCAATTATATTTCCCTCACTCGTTGCAGCTACCTCATCCTCCTGTATTAAAACTGTGTTGTTATCGACGCTACATTTTGCCGTTTCTTTTTTTGGTTTTGTTTTTCTTTTTTTCTTTTAGCTCTGATGTCTTTGGAAAGCGCTGCAGAAAAGGTGACTTAGATGTCATTAACCCAACAGAACAGGACGTCTGGGCCCAGTGATAGGAAAGAAACATGTCTTGCTCAGAATAATAGCTTTATCATATGCTCCTGTGCAAGAACCTGCCAAGAAAGACGGACAGGCAAAGGGGCTGCACAAAAGATTAGAACTATTAGTTCATTTTGAAGTCACTCACTCAATTTTCACATCATTAGAAACAGTTTAGAGGAACGGTAATAGAAGGCAACAACGCATCCTCAGTCAACTGTAGAGTGAAGGATGATACAGGAGCTGGAAGAATAAGAAGACAAAGAAGATAAAGAAGAAGAAGAGAAAAAGAAGAAGAAAAAGAAGAAGAAAAAAATAAGAAGAAGAAGAAGATCAAGAAGAAGAAGAAGAAGAAGAAGAAGAAGAAGAAGAAGAAGAAGAAGAAGAAGAAGAAGAAGAAGAAGAAGAAGAAGAAGAAGAAGAAGAAGAAGAAGAAGAAGAAGAAGAAGAAGAAGAAGAAGAAGAAGAAGAAGAAGCTCGGTTATCACATCTGCCCTACATGCAGAAGGTCCTGGGTTCGAGCCCCATAGGAGCCACATATTTAATCTCACCTCTCGTTGTGGTACTTTATATTATGTATATGTCAACACACTCAGTGTGTTGTTATGTAGTATTTCTGGTTGATTTTCACTAAATACTGTGAGACATTTAGGCAAAAAGCAAGGTTATAAAAAATTGGCTCCTTTGTTTTATTTTTAACTGCTGTGCTGCAGTGACAGCCAACAACACAGGCCGGGCTGCAGCGGATCGTATGTCTTTTGGATTATTAATGATGAAAATACTTTCAGAGCCTTAAACGTCAATAAAATGAATGTTTCAGTCCTTTGTGACAAAGTCTGTCTTCAAGTGACAAGAACTTGAAAAATCTACAGACATCAGTGTTGGATGATCAGTGTCACATTTCTTGAATTCTCTGAATTTTAACAAAGCACAGCTTCACTTTTGAGTTCGCGCAAACATCCCATAATAATACGTTTAGACTCTGATTAATTGCAGAGCTGCTCCAAACTTTGCCAAAAAGCTTGAACTCAACTTTATAGGTTCACCTTCTGTAGCCAAAGCTAATGCAGAGCTGAAAGTAACGCAGCAGACTCTTCATCCACCGGGGTTTGAGTTTAATTTATGGCAAATATATGGAATGACTCAAAGTTTATCTGCAAATATAAACAAAAGTGTTTTGCTGGATAATATTTTGAAATTCTTTCTTAAACGTTTAGTGTTTCATTTTAACAGCGCAGCAAAACATCAGCCTCAAAATGACTACGCTGTTGCATCACCTTGAAGCAAAAACAGCTTCAAAACAAACAATATAAATCTCACAGCAGAGACGGCACTGCTTTGAGCCCGGCTGGAAAAAGACTGGAGCCTGTTGAATAAATCATATCAGGGTCTGAGAAAAGTGATGTGGGAGTGGGAGGAAAAAAAAAATGGATTGCGGCTTCTGATGGTTCATAGTACTTTGTTCTGTAAGAGTAAAACTACACGGTAAAATAACTGCCTGAAGGTCTAGATCAGTGATCATCAACTGGTGACTCGTGGGCCAAATCTGGTCCACTAATTCGTCCATTCAGGTCAACGACTGGATTCCAAAATAAACACCAAATAATAATGGTACACAAAAAAATATATAAATGTTATGTCATTTTATGAGAGTATCCACTCCCCCCAAAGTGTCTGTCCAGAAACAGATCATCAGTGAGCTGTGAGAGATCGTCAAATAATTTGTCTTCGTTGAGCAACTACGCCACAGGACCAAACACAGACTTACAGAGGAGGTTGGATCATAGTAACGCAGCAGTACAGTACCTGGTTGTCATGTAAATCCAGGATATTCAGTTTTGACAGCCCGTCCAGGCAGCATATCTTCTGGATTCTGTGTCAGAATTTGGGAAGAGGAGAGAAAAGAAAAAGTGTTAGCAGGAAAGGGAAGTAGTGTTTTCCATCATTATCAGAACTGTTAGTCAAGTTATTTGGGAAATGTACTTTCTAACCAAAAGTTGCTTTTTTTTTTGCTTTTTCCAAAATGTTCAAAAAAGTCTACCAGTGAGATTTGTGACAAGCTAACAATTACACACTGCTGTCAGCAGAAGACGGAGTGTGGGAGCTTTAGGAGTTTACATCCCCAGAGAAAATGGCTGATACATTATCGTACAGTGACTTATTGTTCAGGACTGTCTGTAAAGATGTAGATCACGTTACAAGTCAGAATGAAAGGCTGTGGTTTCCTGAAAAATGACAGTTGGCTACGACAGGTCATTTCTCATTATGATATATAACACATACACTAAACTGTACTATATTCAGTGTCGTAACAGTATATGTAGATATTTATATTTTAAATATTTTCATCATAAATTCTCTCCATCCATAGCATCAATATTGAAGAAACCATATATTGTGTATGTATGTGGTATCCAGTACTCGTTTTTTGTCAGCTTCACCGGCACACACACACGTGAAGTACAAAAAACTACACTGCAAACAGAAGCAGGTTAAAAACTCACCTATTCTTCCCCAGCATCAGGATCCTCAGTGAGGTCAGAGCTTCAATGCCACTCATTTCCAAGATCTGATTGTCGTACAAGTTCAGGAACACGAGCTGCTGCAGATATGACAAATGCTGGATCCTGGTGATTAGGTTATGCTGCAGGTTTAGAAGTTGCAGTTTTTCAATCATGTCCGACTGAGGACATTCTTTCAGCCCACGTCTGCAAAGAGATATGGCAAAATTATACTCCTAACTATCAAGGTTTATTTATTATATATTCCATAAGTCTATACACCTGCTGCACTGGGTCGACATTTAGGATTCTCTGAATGTTTTTGTTGGTTTATGGTTATGGTTATTTTATTTTGGAAAAACTCATATCAAATGGACAGCCTCATTAAAAAATGGGGGAATTATTAATGTTGAGACAGTAGAGGGCTCCAAAACCGCCAACATATTTAAAACAACACAACCAAAGGTCCTGAAATGAAAGTGTATAATATAAAATGATATTTATGTATAAATTATATCTAATGCACTTGTGTTCGGGTTCACGCGTGGCCTTCACTTACACAAATGCATAAACGCGGTCCGTGGTGCAAAAACTGTAACCACTAAGTTACAGGGCTTCTGAGATACGAAGTTAGTTGGACTTTGCTGCGCCCTGGCGGTCATCTGAGGTACTTACTAATCTAGAATACCATATGGGATATTTGCCCAATTTAAACAGATTTTTGCGGAATAAATATTTTATAACCTAAAAGTGAATTTTAAAAAAAGAAGAGTGAAGTACCTGTCTAAGTCGAGGCGGTTAAAATTGGATGCAAAATGGTTATATGGCACTGGAGTGAATCTTCCCAAAACACCTAACACAGAACATAGACAATGAATTAAATTGATGTCATGTTTGAAACAGTTGCATTTTAAAAGTAAACATTCAGGGTTACCTCCTGGTTTGTTCTGCTCCGGGATATTTGGGCAGTGAGCAGCCGAACCACTGTGGACTGGTCTCTGAGATTTGTCTCTTGATCGTCGCCCAGCTTGTATAACCGCAGTAAACCCAGTTGCTAATGGCACATTACTTTGTAGAGTACGTGACAGGTCAGCTGTTGTCTGAACAAATCTACTCTGGCTGAAAGCATTCAGCATTTTCCCTTTAAAGAACAATAATTATGAGTTGAAGAAAAATTACAATATTTAGCAGACATAAAATTATATATATATATAAAAAAAATAATTTCAGTTATTTGGTTTTAACCTACCTGGGTCAAACTGAGTCAACGTGGGGTTGAAATGAACAGTTTTGTCTTTTCCAATATCCCGATGGTAATGCTGCAAAATAATTTTTTTTTAAATTAAACAGTGTAAAAAATTGAATATTGAATATATTTTTAATTATAAATTACAAATTTCTTTAGTCATGAGCGTGCAATATATTTTTAATTATAAATTACAAATGTCTTTAGTCATGACAACTTACTGTCATGTTCTCTACTGCTGAAGATTTGACCAACACTGGGGTCAACTTGCAGCTGTTAACCTGCCCAGAATTGAAAAAAAAAAAAAAAATCGATCAACTATACACGGCAAAAAATCAAATAAAAAAACAAACAAATTACGATTTGACAATTGAAAAAATAATTATGTTTTTTAAGTCAGCAGACCTTGAACATGATGGCAAATATTTATTCTGAAAAAAAAAGTCTATATTTGTATTAAATGTGTTGTTTTACCGTAGGAGTGGGAAGCATCCATCTGTCACTGTCACGGCTCCTGTGTTTGTCACAGCGAACTGTTGTTCCCACAATCCGCTCCGGATCCATTCCGTCTGTCAGAAGTTGAAGAACATTCAAATCTTAACGGTATGAACTTGTACGAACGTCATGTATTTTAGTTTTCACATCTTCTTTTCCTGGCGATTCAAACTTTCCACTTTAAGACATGCACAGTTGTCATAGTGACGCTCGCGTTGCTTCGGCAACTCTGATTTCCGGTGTCACCACAAACGATCCGGGTAGAAACAAAACTTTAGGTGTTTTAACTTCGCCTCTCTAACTTTACCTCCTTCTGTCCTTCCTGGTCACTGCCCCGTGGGGTAACATGTTGTTGAACACTTTTCACCACACCAAGCTAAGACACTTAGCTACTGTAACACACAGTAACCATAGACAGTATAATAACTTATTTTTTGTAATAATACATACGTCATAATACAGAATACTTCAAGTGTCCTATAAATAACTAGACCTGAATAGTCTAGAATAGAATAGAATAGATCCCTAACCTCACTTTGCCATCTGCGCAAAAAAGAAAAAAGAAATAAAAAAAGAAAGAAAGAAAGAAATTAGAAAAAAGAACAGGTATTAAAGAAACAAGATATTTTACAATACAAAAGATGTTCAGGTGGAAATGAGAAGAATATGTCAACAATAAAGTAGGTCTAATCAATGCAGTGAATGTAAACATCTGGGTAAATGTAAACATTAAGTAAAAGAGGTAAATAATACTATTAACATTAAACAACTGTAACAATAAGCAACAACAAAACATGAGGTAAATGTAATTATAAGGCAGAAATCTAAACATGGGGTTAAAATGTAAACATTTAAGTGGAGCGCACACTTCAAAATCGAGGTCACCTCGATAGCCACAAACATTTTGAAGTATGTGTGTGGCCTACATGTTCAAACTGGAATGGAACCAAAAAGTTGTGAGAAACTTATGTAATACAAACAAGTTTATCGGTTTGTTTGTTTTTTTCTCGTTTGTTTTTCATTTAACAGAACCATTTTATATGGAAGGCCCAGGGCAAATTATACATAATAGCAGACTACTGCTAGGACTCTCTTTCTTTTTCTTCCTTCCTTTCTTGTTTTTTTTTTTTTTTTCCTTCCTTTTTTTTTTTTTTCCCTCTTTTTTTTTTTTTTCCTCCCTCCTTTTTTGTTTTTTTTTTTTTTTTCAGCAATAATCATAGTAATCACAAATGAAACACTCTTCTTGAGAAAAAGAGAAATTGCCAGTATTTACTGCAGCACTCATGACCCTGCTCTGGGGCTTGTCTTTTGTCCCAGTTGTGATTTCTACATTAAACTCTTGTAAAAGTGATGGAAAGGAGTGCCGTGGTAATGACTGCAGCAACACTGAGAATAGACATATTCATTACCATCATCATTATGTGAAAAGGCACAGAAGCAGCCAATCACTCTTAACATGGCCCTGTTTGCAGAAAGACACAACGTCTTACATCTTGTTGTGATTTTACTCTGAATTTCCTTCTCTATGCACCTGTGATTTCAGGTGACCAGTGCTTTTTAGTGTTTGAAATACAGTTTCTGATTGATCTGACAATAAAGTTGACTTTTTTTCAAGTCATTGGGCCATTTTGGACTTTGGCCATTTAAACTTCAGTGAGTAATAGTGTTTGCAAACCAAATATATATAAAAAAAAAAAAGAGTCTCGTTGCTGTCAATAATAAATGGTTGCTCAGAAAACAGTCCACATTCATCAAAGGGACATCCCACACATTGCCTGTCACCATTCTATTCATGTAGTGCTCAGCTGACACATGTTATGGGAGGTGATCTTCAGCAGCTTGACAGCATAACAAGCCACCGGGAAAAGGCACAGTACAGAACATAGATCCATGTGTGTAGTCAGGGTTTTAAGTTAGAATTCTCCAGTAGGGAATATAGACTTCTGTAGATTTTGTGACATTTACCAGTTAAAAATATCACTATTATAGAATCAACTCTAATTGACTCTAAAATTTACAGCATTAAAAAGACAGCGGTTGTTTTTAGAAAATGTTGTACACATGGAAAATTGAAGTGAATTTTAAAATACACTGACATTTAACTGACATTCCTACTTTATTTTGATAAATCTAGACTAGAATTCTAAAGTTCTATTGTAAAATGTTTGTCAACCATCAAAAGGTCGAGTAACATTTCACACCTTAGGTTTCCCAAACAACAACTTGACAACAAATACTTTAACAATCCAAGCGGTTGTGCCGGTTGAAACAATGGAGCTCTATTGGTGATATTTATACACACAGTGATCTGGGTGTGCTGTGTGTCAAACGTCACTTTTCTGGCTCACTTGAGAAGTAGCTAGCCCATGTTGCACCTGATTACTATCGGTATGCTAAATTGGTGCCTTTAGCCGTGACTCATCAAAATTACTCTGCAGTAATGTTCAAGGTTACAGACACATAAGCTGCTCCGTCGAGAAGATGAGTGTTCTTACATACTAATGTCAGCTCCCTGCCAGACACCTACAGTACATGATGTCACTACGGTCAGAAGTCAGTGGACCGTCCATGTTCGAATACGTGTTATATACATACAAACACATCAAAGTGCTTGAGTGTGCTTAGACTGTAGTATAATAGTACACATTAAAAATGTCTGCACATTTAAAAAAAAAAAATTAAATCAATTTCATAAATTATTTATGATGGTTAATGCATTAATCCTGACAGTCCTAGAATAAATCTAAGCGACCAAGTAACAATGAAACGCATGACTTGATCTACAGATCACTGTTTTTCAACGCAGGAAACAGAACATGAAATAAAAGACTAGTAAGAAGTAATTGTTTTTGTTTTTTCAACGCAGGAAACAGAACATGAAATAAGAGACTAGTAAGAAGTAATTGTTTTTGGTTATTTTTGTTTTTATTATGAAATTATTCGCGCAACTTATTTTAATGTGACACATTTTCTCTAGTCTCTGGACATCTGCTGCAGCCACTCAGGGATTCAGAATGGGAGAGTCAGACTCTTCATGTAAAATTGAGTTAACACCATCTTTCATTGTAATCTACAAATCCGTGTCTGCAGCCAAGTGTGAATTAATAAGAAAGAAGAGTTAGGTAAGATTTTTAGTAGAAAGAAAGAGTAAGAAAGAAAGGTAAAATCTGACGTGATTTTTTTTTAGACACACATCCCCTGGTGTGACATTACAAAAATATAGAGAGGGTTCATGATTTTAAATAAGCCAGATTGGGGAAAAAAAAGTGAAAATAGACAAACTTTGTTTTTATGCATATGGTATAGAATAAAACAGCAAAAAAGACACATTAGGGCTAATGCATTGTGGGTATTAATACGAAAGGTACCATAATTTACATTTAATCTTTTAAAATGTAAAACAACCCTAATACAGTCTATCTTTAGTGAGTTTACCTTGGTCAGGGGAGGAAGGAGTCTGGTGGAGGCCATCTGTCAAACTGCCACATTTTCCTGAATAAAGAAAAACATATACAGGTGCTTCATTTTTTTATTTATTTTTTTAATGTGCTTCAGTCACAAAATAAAACATTGTACGTTTTGCTCCTGTCAAAACATTGGATCTAATTCCTGCAGTGAAGATTTTTTTTTTCTCCCATCAGACAAATGCCTGGATATGAAAGTAAATGCCGTCGTGTTATTTCTTACAAATGTTCTTCTCGTTCAATCACCCTCCTCCTTTCCCCCCTACTCCCTGCTGCATTGTACACAAACCAGCATGTGGTGCGGAGAATGAGTCAGACTGCCCACCAGCTGTGAGCCTGGCAGCCAGGGGGCTGGATTAAAGATATTTTATGTAGGGTTGGCTGTGGTGGTCCACCACATTGGTGTGAGTGATTGCGAGGCTATTAGAAGAGGTGGAGGGGGTGGAGAAAGCAAAATGGACTTGATTTAGGAGAAACTATTTAGATCCTGAATTAAAGTGGTCCCTGATGAACACCTACATATACATGTGTCCATCAAATTGTTTTTATTATATATTTTTTAAAATAAATATCTGTATTTGTAGTTAATAAAATATATTAATATTAATTTTCACTTTTGAGGAGAGGGAAGGACGTTTTTAGGTATAAGTTTGCAGTCAAAAATGGTAAAAATGATATATATATATACACATATATAAATACATGTAGGTTTATATGTGTGTATTCATGTCAGAAATGGTGAAGTACACAATAAGGGTAATGTGATTATTAATAAATATGTGAGTTTACAGTGTCATCTTATAGTGTGCCATTACAAATTTTGAAAAATGTAAATATCCAATCTCTACTGTATGGCTTTATTTTTAGAGTAAAACACCTGACTTGTTGCCGTCCTAGCCCGACTAAGTCCCAAAACATTTGTATTGTAAGTTTATAGATTTGTTTACCTGCCGTCTATTCGTACTGATGACATCAATAATCCACGCCCCAGAAAGCAACGCGTGTCGACCTGCGTCATGGGTTACAGTCGGTGTCGACACCCTGGAATCTAAATGATTGGCAAATAACATCTTGGTTAAATTCATGACGTCAATTACGCTCATTCTCTTAGTCATTTTATTCTAAATACGTATCCAAACATCAAGTGAATAAACCTACTGCGTTAATCTGATGGAACCTGCTGGAATCCAGCTATCACAGGTTTAATGTTTTACACCTGTGGCCAACTAGGGCCTGTCAAAATGGCTGCTGTTCAACGGGCCCTCCGATGGGCTTCCGGTTTCCTTCCTTCTCGCCTCGTGCACGTGTACCACTTCCGCTCCTGCATGCAGCCTGAAGCTGAGCCAATTATCCAATTAGTAACGTTAGATACACAGGTCGCTTTGCAACCACACTTTCCTAATGAGACACAGAGACACGTGAATGGTCGTCCCTTTCTTTTTTAAGTAATCGGTAATCGAATGCTTACAGCAAACTGAGAGTTTGAGAGAAAAGTGAGGGGGAAAAAATTAAAAAAAAAAAGTATGCGCGCCCTGGTGAACGCCTTCATGAGATGCCTCTTCTTTCTCATGCCTCCCTCTCGGCTTTGTGTCAGCTCTTGCTTGTGGGCTGGGAATGAGTGCGAAGACACGCTGCTGCCGCCGCGGCCCAATCCGAGAGCTCGTTTCAGGAGCACAAAGCTTCTTTCTTACATATGAGGAAGTGGCCGCAGCAGCGGCGGCAGCGGCAGAAGCACAAGGAGGCTCCAGCCCGCCCTTCTCTCCAGGTCCAGGCTGCGTCTCGCTGGCTGCTAAAAGCCCCGCTGCTCCTCTGGGCCCTCCACCGGGTCGGATTTGGATCAGGGGTCTCTGGCGAGCCGTGGAGCGCGTCTTTGGAGCCCCCTGGGTCCTTCTCCGCCATCGCTGGTGCCCGAAGCAGTGTCGAGCAGCTTTACGCACCCCGTATCCTGCCTGCGCCTTCGAGGCAAATCAGATTCAAATCTTCCAGGGAGGCGCTGCGGCTGCGGTTGCTGCTGCGGCCGAAGAAGAGAGGGGACCGGACAACAGCACCTTTACCTACTCGGGGACCATGAGTGGGTCCGTGGGCATCCCCTGTCCGAACCCGGCGTGCGCCTCGGACGTTGCGTCAGCGGACGGGGGTATGGATGAGGTAATCACTGTGGATCAGCACTCGCAGGAGATGGGGACCGTGACGATAACGGTGGCCATTCAAGCAGCGGAGGACGAGGAACCGGAGGAACTGTCGTCCAGTTTTATTGACTATCTCGGAGGCAGCTGCAGCGAGGACGAAATCGGAAGATATGACAAATCCAGGTTGGATATCTTAAAGTTATTCTCGTAGCTATGAATGGAATGTCACTGTTACTTACACGTGATGAGCCAACTATTCTTAATGAGTTATATCTGCCCTGAACCAGAGTGGGCTGTGGGACAGCGTCCATGTCTCACTCTAAATCATCTCCTCCTCATCTCTTGTGACTGAAGTCTGTATTTTCACAGTCACGGTGGAGTCGACTTCATCAGTCCGTTTTTGACTGATGTCCCAGTGCTCCGGTCCGTTAGCAGCTTTAGCTGATGACATGCCAGCACATGGGTACGACTGGAGGCGGCGAAACAGCGGTAGTGCTGATCTGTCACGATGACAAAAGAACGACATGGCAGTGTGCAGTGACGCCAGCGAGATGCTCACAGCTGGGAGTGTAGTCTCCCCCCCGTCTTTCCCTCCCCACCCCTCTGGTCTTTAGGTGCATTGTTGTCCCCTAGGTGGGACATGGAGCAGAGAGAGAGTCCGACCACCTGCAGACAGAAGCAGCAGCGTGTCATTGGTGTAAACCCAGACACCTGAGGTGGAGATAAAGACCGGCACACTTCCCTCTAATCTAATTCCTCTGCGTCATGGCTGGCTCTTTTTATCCGCTGGCCTTTAAGTTCCCTCCTTGAACTCCGAGTGAGTCACTGGTTGTGAGGCCAAAGGGGAGAATAAATCTCTTTATACTAAGCATCGATGAGCGTGTGTGTGTAGGTCAGTACTCAGTGGTACAGCAGCACACCAGAGGATGTTTTTATTTTGCACATGGGACTTAGTATGATGCTGTGAGACAAAGTGTCCACACAGAGGTGCAGTGACCTATAAGAGTGAACCTAATCAGTCCATTTGTGGACTTTTTTTCCCCTGTATCTCTTACACTTTTTCTTCTTAAATCTGTGTGTTTAACTTGGGCTGTGCTCTCCCCCCTGAGTGCTGCTGGCCGTCTTTATTCTAAGTCCCGGGGAAAGCTGTGGACTGGTGCCAACTGTGCGCTCAGGCAGAGTTGAGCTGGAAAACTGTTGACTAAAGGTTTGTGTGAGGGAGGAGGCCGGAGTAAGAGGAAGAGGAGGAGGTGGTGAGTCATACAAACAAATGATTGCCCAGACCCTCACTCTAATCTGCAGAGCTACCTGAGTGTAACTATTTCATAGCATCACAGGCAGTGGTCTGACAGAGACCTAACTGTGCCTGGACACACACACACACACACGCGTGCTTCTGGGAATGGTGTGAGCTAGATGCAGCGCGTCAACATATTCTGTGTAGGAGGCAGAGCCTCTGACTCTGTGCCCCTCAGATGGTGAGGTCTTGGCAGTTTCAGGGGTTGGTGGGACACCGTGGTTCAGTGTCTGGCACCGAGGCACGGTGTTGCCTGCCTGGAGGCAGCCTGTCAACGGTCTATATGGACTGAGTCGAGCAGAAATGTTCTGTTTTAAATCAGTCGAGGGACGAGTTATGGAAAACGACCTGTTTTATCAAATGCAGTAGTGAAGTAGGATGTCAAATATTCTGCTGTTTCAATGATGCACTGCTAACCACGATATGCTGTTATCTTCCCACGTGCAGCGGAGCGGGGACTAGTGGAGGGGAGCTGGAGGAGGAGAGCTGGCAGCCTCCGGACGCGGAGCTCATCCAGAAACTGGTGGCTCAGATTGAGTACTACCTGTCGGACGAGAACCTGGAACACGATGCCTTTCTCCTCAAACACGTGCGAAGAAACAAACTTGGGTTCGTCAGCGTCAAGTTGCTCACCTCGTTCAAAAAGGTAAACCTAAATGCAAAGAAAAAAAAGATAGAAATAAGTTTAAATTTCATATGTGTATACAGCAAATACAGTCTGTAATGGATGCGTTATTATTTTATGATAATTATTGATCTCTATAGACATTTAGGTACCATGTATTAGGCACCAATTATTGATCTCTATAGACATTTAGGTATTACATGCTTTTCATAAGGGGGTATATTTTGGTCAATTTAAACAGAAAATTAAGAAATGGTATAAAAAGTATCATTTATATTTCATTTTTTATAATTAGAATCAGGAGTGGATAAAACATTATTTAAGTGGCACCTTGTATTTCCTGTCAACACAAAACATCTTTATATTCAAAAACGTTATTAATTTGCAGGGTTTTTTTGTTTTTTTTTTTCTTCAAAAACTTGAAACTTAAATGTGAAAATCAAAAACTAAAACCTAAAAACCGGTTTTATCAGATGGTTTTCCAGCTCCGTATCGCAGACATGTAACACAGTCGTTCTCTTCGCAGGTGAAACACTTGACACGGGATTGGAGAACAACTGCTTATGCTCTGAGACACTCAAAGATCCTCGAGCTTAATGATGAGGGCCGAAAGGTGCGACGAAAATCAGCCGTTCCCGTCTTCGCCAGCGAGTCGTTGCCGAGCCGCATGCTGCTGCTAAGTGATTTGCAGAGGTGGCCAGAATTGGCCGCCCTCACGAAGGATAACGGAGGCGGCGAGGGAGTTGCGACTCAGCAGGAGCAGCTGATGAAGCTGCTGCTGAAAGCTTTTGGAACGTACGGTACCATCGCCTCTGTGAGAGTCCTGAAGCCTGGTAAGGACCTGCCCGCAGACCTGAAGAGGCTGAGTGGTCGATATTCCCAACTTGGCACTGAGGAATGTGCCATTGTGGAGTTCGAGGAAGTGGAGGCTGCTGTCAAGGCCAACGAAGCTGTGGGGAGCGACGACGGGGGAGCCAGTTTGTTAGGGTTGAAGGTGGTTCTGATCGGCACTAAGCCACCGAAGAAGAAGGTCCCCAAGGAACGGCCACGTGCGGAAGGAGGGATGCGAAAGAGTCGCTCGCTCAACAGCCGAATCCGGGAGCTTCAGTACCACGGCGACGACTCGGCCTGCAGCTCCTCGGAGAATGAGAGCAATCCTACCTCCCCAAGGCTGGCCAGGAAGTCCCAGTCTTGCAACAAGCTCAGTCCCACCACTGCCGGCATCAGCTTCCAGAACAATCACCTGAGTCCTGGTATGTCCCCTCGTAACAGTCCCTGGTCAAGTCCCCGTGGCAGCCCCTGCCCTCAGCGTAAGGCCCCTCATTTCAAGTCTCCCTTGGCCAGTGAGGGGAGACTGAGCCCCGAGGCTGGGCGTCGCTGGGCAGACTACTCCTCAGACAGCAGCCTCACGCCTTCAGGGAGCCCGTGGGTGCAGCGGCGCAAGCAGGTGGCGTCTCAGGAGAGCAGTCCGGTCGGGAGTCCAATGCTGGGCAGGAAGATCCAGAACGCTGACGGCCTTCCACCGGGGGTGATGAGGCTGCCCAGGGGGCCCGATGGAACCCGAGGCTTTCACTGTGTCACTATTGGTGAGAGAGGAAAGACTGCGGCTACTCAGACTTGATCTGTGGAGCAACATTATGCATTTCTTATGCCCCAGGGAAAAAAAAAATTGGGGGGTTAGAGCTGTTCTTGGCCCCACAGTAAAGTCTGTGTAGATAAACTTTAGTTGAGTTCTAGTGGGTTCTCAGTTTTTGTTATATTTTTATACGTTTTTCAGTTGCGCGGCAGCATTAGTGATTTACCAAGGGAAATTGGAGTGAATGTGAACTAATATTGTTTTGATTGTTTTGAGAACTTTATACCATGATCCATTGCTGTCTAGACTTGTTCTACGTGGGGTAGAGCAGAGAAGGATTTTTAATTGACATACGTCGTGTTGAAGCTCCGAACACTGTCTGTGGATAAACGTATTCATGTGTGTACGTAGTGTAAGTGTCACAGGCGCTCGGGTTGGATAGAGGTCTCACCAGAAGCCTTTTCTGTATTTGTCTACTGTGACTTTCATTTGTCTCATTAAGCCCCGACCATAATGGTTCCGCTGTCACACAGATCGACAGTTTGGACAGTTCAACTCGGATATGGTAAACGTTTGCTTTTATTTGGCCTTTTTTTTAATTTTTAAATAAGTTTAAAAGGGCTCGATTCTAGCTCTGTAACTGTTACGTTGTTGGGCAGGCAGCTGCTTTATTTATTTTTTTAGCTTTTATTTTTCTTTGTGCATATGTTTCCGTCAGTGTAAGCTCACAGAGAGGTTTGAGGGATGTTCAGGTCAGGCAGAACACACTCTCTTTAGTTCCTGCCTTCACATCTGAGCTGGGGTATTTGTACAGTGCAAGATTCTTATTGTACAAATAAATCACTGAAATTGCTTTTGGCTTCTGCTTTTGTTTGTTGTTTGTTTCTCATTGGTCATGGGTGTAAGTAGCAGCAGCAGGTTATATTTATACAGGTCCTTGCGAGTGTTCAGACTTGGAAAGAAACGCTCTCACATGGAGTTTAAAAAAAAAAAAGACTGCACAGATGGAGAGACGATGGAGTGAATGTTCTACAGGCTACTTCAATTCACCTTAGGGAGAAATGGACTCACGTTACATACAGTGTGTACATTTGTAGCTCACTCATTGTAGTGACTCATTATCACTTGGCAACGTGTACTATCAAATGCAGTTTTTAGTACTGTATTTGTACAGATTTAGGTCAGGTATTAAGCAGAATATCGTTTATCCAAAACACTGAAGGCACGTTCTTTGACTTTGTTCTGATTACAAACTAGACAAAGTGTCATGAACAGCATGTGATGTTGAGCTGATGCCAAAAGAAGCTGATGACGAAGACAATGACTGCCAGCAGTGAACGCCCAGGTTAATTATGACTGTTAGCAGGACGCCGGTCGATATAACAAGAAATGGCTTGTGGTCGAACACAGAGGACAGATGGAGACAGGTGTGTTGTGACAACTGGACCGGGTGAGAGTAAAAATTGTAAAGACTCTGATTGGTAGATATTTTGTGATTGTAAAGACTCTGATTGGTAGATATTGTTGTCAGTAGCATCAGAGTGTTATGCAGAAGGGCAGATTAGTGTTGATTTTGTTAAGGGATGACAAAGAAAACGGATCAACATATTTGCCTCCCATATAAATGGGAGGCACATAAACAAGAGTAGATGGAGGTGCACAAAGGTAGATTAAATCTGGTGCAGGAAATGCCAGCTCAGAGTAACAGGAGATTGTAATGCGGTGCCAGGGCAGAGTGAAGCGGAGGCAACATTGGGTTCAAGTGTCTCGGTTGACAATAGGAACAAGAAGAGAGGAAGTAAGTAAAGACAGAGGTGAGGATCAAATGGTAGAAACTGAAAGAGGAGAACGAGCTCCTGTAGGACGGTGAAGGTAATGACGGGAAACGACGAGGTGTTTGGTGTGACCTCAGGGTCAGAGAAAAGAGAACAAGAATTGTTGGTGGAATGAGGAAGTACAGGTGAGTGTTCAGAGGAAGGAGGCTGCAAACAACACATGAGATTCAGACAGATAACGGGTATGAATGAGAGTGGGGTGAGGCCAGAAGTATGAAGACGAGAGGCGACAAAAAAAAAAAAAACTCCACGTAGATCGAATTGTGTAGAAAAAAACAACAACAGCAAAACACATTTTCGTTACCTGTCACTAAGGGACAGTTCTTCCAGTAATCTCAGTTGTACTGAACAGGTTTCACCTCAAATTTAACTTCAAGGTGGCGATTGCTCTTTATATTATGTATCATAAATTTGTCAAACAGCTGTGTCTGTTGTTGTGCCAGGTTCCTGCAGCAGAGAACTAACCAGAGGAGACCTTTACGTCGTCTGGTGAGCCCTTTGCTGCCGGGACTATTCCAGTCCCAGCACTTGTACACAGTGTGTCCATGTCAGGAATGAACAATGCCACGCAGCCGTACTGCTGATCAGCCGCTCCTTTCACACGGACATGAAATCCTTTTAGAAGAGACTGTGAGGGACGTTCAGTCCCAGGAACTCCAGTGCCGTGGTTGCACAATTAACAGGTTTGGTCTTTTGGTTTTGGATTTTGTTTTGCTTTTAATCAAATGTGAAACTGACCATTAGCTGTTGGACATCTTGGATATTAGAGGCTCATCTCGTCCTAATCAGATCAGACAGACAAAAAAAAAAAGAAGAAATATGGGTTACAGTAAGAATAAAGGAGAAAAAATTCAGAGGTAATGAACACTCTCTGTGTGAACTGTAATTAATGCCTTGTTCTCAGATGGCTTTATATTTAGCTGCCGTCCAAGTGAGAGACAATTAAGCTGAACACTAGCAGGTTCAGCACCTCTGAATAAATGTGCCGGCAGTCAATCTGAATTGTATTGCAAAAAAAACCACTCAGCGCCGTGGGAGTGAACACAATGGTGAGGACACAAGCTGTTGGACACAAAGGGTCAGAACAGATGCCCCGAAACTCAGAGCCGTGATGGGTCTGAGTGGGATTGCATGGAAGAGGAAAAAACAAACTTTTGTTGTCCTCTCTGAATAGCGAATCATTTGAAAACCTAAAAAAGTGCTATCGCTGTCTCTGTGTGTGTGTGTGTGTGTGTGTGATGGCATTTAGCTCGTGTTAGGGATGAATAGCTTGTTGGATAATACAGCAAAATCGGCTGTTACTCCAAATAAAAGGGAGTTCTCGATAAGGGGATTTATATGAAATTCTCATTAGCCACAGATGAGGATCTCAGTGGTAAAGGCTAAATCGAATAATAACATGGCCATTAGTTGTGATCAGCAGCACCATTTGTGTAAGAATAAAAGGCCTTTTTCCAACTCAGTAATTTAGCTCATTATAGCAATTAGTTACATCATCTATTAAACATCTTTTTTTTATGCCTACTATTCTCTCCTTTGTCAAAGTTGCGGCGCCTGTTGAATATAGGAACAGCCGGTTGTTGTGCCAAACACCGGGACAAAGGATTTACACAAACTAATCTAGTCCACATGTAAATGTGTGCTTTGGCGAGCAGCTGTAGCAGGGTGGTTTAGAACATGGCATCAGCCCAACACTGGCCTGGAAACTGGATCACATGTCAGATGGTTATATTCAAAATTAAATGTATTGATTACATTTAAGAAACAAAACAACCACTGTATCCATAATTATAAGATGGGGGTTTCTATTTACGAAAACAAATGGCTGCACGAAACCCTTTCAGAAAGTTCAAACGACATACTGTAACTCAGTGTTTCCAAAACCTTTTTTTTTTCTGGGGGCCCATATTTTAAAAGTCACAAAACTTCGCGACCCAAGTGGATAGACATTTTTCATAAACTCCTGGGAAACATGATGCGAGATAACCCAAAAAAAAAACTCTTGCGACCCAGTCTTTGGGAAACAATGCTGTAATTAATGAGATGTGATTTCATAATAGTAAAACCTGACGGCATCAAAGCATTGCTAAATTTAGTAGCTCATATTATCATTAAGTCATGTGACAAACGAGCCTCGAATTTGAAAAATGCTTAAAATATTATTTTTTTATTTTTTTCTCCTCACTCTGGACACATCTTTTAGTTAGAATATTATTTTTCACAAAATAAATCAGACCTTGTAACTCTACCCAGTTATTTTTAATGACCTAAAAAATGTAATCTATCATTTCGTGCTTTCATGTTTCAACTTTTTGTTTCAACCAATATTCAATATCCTTAGTTTCTATATGAATGAATAACAATAATTTCGAAACAAAGCACCTTTTTTCATTTCCTAAAAATTTTTCGTGAAATGTTTCTGCTTCACACATATCTATGTCAAACTAAGGGGAATACTAGAGTGTGGAAACAATAGTCTGGTGTCAAATTACAATAAAGAAGCCATTTTTATTTACTATTATTATTTTCACTACTGAAAAGAGTAACTTCCTGCAGGTGGACACACCCACTCCAGATCCAACTTAAATCAGCCCGTCAGCATAAGCAGCAAGATCACGATGTTAATGAGGCTACATTCTGCAGACGTGTCTGCACATAACCAAACCAAGTAAAGGTCAGACGAGGACACAGAGTCGCACAGATGACAGGGAACAAGTTGCTGATGCAAGATTACAAACACCGCTCTACATGTTCAAAATAAAACAGGAAGCACTTGTGTCACACTGCAGAAAATAGAAAACAGAATTTAAATGAGAGTTTCGAGCCCTTTCTCCTTTCTCTGTTTTTGTTTTCGTTTTTTTTGGGGCCAGCCCTTGTATCATATCGTGGGAGGGGACTCCAGGGGCTGGTGGTAAATTGTAGGAACAGGGATTGCAACATCAGTAAGGCAGCAACCAATTGGAAATGCTGACACAAGAGCAGAGAAAACAAGGAATGAGAAAAGAAGAAAAAAAAAGTACTTACATTATGTAATATGAGCAGCGTAAATCCACTGTACAAGAACTGTTGGCGGGTAACTGGGTGGAACCAGAAGGAGATTGTCAGTCAAGCTCGAGCACATTCCTCCAACAATACTAATAGAATATCAAGCTTCCCACCCTTTCTCTGGAAGCACACTCATTTTTAGCAGCTAAAGTATGACAAACTACCACATCAAACACTGCTAAAATACCGCATTATCCCAATAATTAGGTACAGAAGAAGGAATGGCCTGAAGGGTTTGACGCAGAGGACAAATGATGTTGTTTATAAATGTGTGTTTAGACACAAGGACAATAAAGGAGATTATTCTTTGTCTAATGTTTTGATAAAGGTTCCTTTCTACACTTGTACTTTTACATATTGTACCTTTATTCGGATTACTTCAATGCTAAAAGTATCCAACAGAGCAGTGATTCCTAACTGTTAAGCAACAGCACGTGTTCCACAATAGACAAATTTACAGTTTTCACAGCACACCAGTAAACGTATATGTAATGAAATGAATCAGTGTGAAAACTAGGCCTGTTTAGTTGAACACGGCGCTCATGCACAGGAATTGAAGAAATACAAGATCTTCTTCGACAGCTCTGAATGAAAACAAATAATAGTTTTAAACCAATTTAGTCATATATGATTATTGAACACTACACCGTGGTAGAAAATCAACTCGACAAAAGACGAGGAGAAAAAAACAAAACAAAAATGTATGCATCCTAGCTAACACTGGTTACATCCGCAAGCTACAACATCTGATTCCAAAGTCTAGAAAGTCACTAAATCTGGCAACTTTTACAGTATTGAGAGATAATTGTGATTGTGTGTCTGAGTTTACCTGTTTATGTCCTTTCTAATTCACTGTGTATGTATGGTTAATGACTAAAAACCAGTAAGTTGTGAGAGCCAGTCCTCAACATCGTGTACGCCGACTATTTGGGATAATTACGGTAGAATTCAACCATTATTTAGATTAAATTACACTCTATATAATGACCATTAGGGCACAGAAAATGAGCATAACAGACTTCAGAGGGCGAACAGAAAAATCATACCCTGGCCATTTGTCATAATAGGGCTGTATCCACTGATGAATGTATGAATAGAGTAATTCAGTCCAGTAATTTAGATAGTTACGGTAATTAGTGAAATGGGCAAAAGATCTTTGTATTCAGTATAATGGCTTCGGCTTTTTGGGTTTCAAAAGTTTGGACATTTAGAGTCTGGTTGTGACACACTGGATACAACAGGGTTTTTTTTTTTCATAACCTAAAACACTGTGGTGGGGGTTTGATATCCAGATCCAAATGTAGACATGCAAGTGTTTGTTTGACTTCCCAAAAAAATGCTCATAGTGGCTGTGTCAGCAGAATGTGACTGGGTGTGACTCCAAGACCTGAGTGGATCAGCACTGTAGCAAACTCCAAACTCACTCTAAAAACATCCATTCATCCGCGGTCCATCACCGTGAAGTGCAAGAAAAATAAAATGAACACTTACCTTTTTATTAACATAACTTAAAAAAAAGAGAAAAGAGTGACATTAACATTGTTTGAACAACTCTACTTACAACTGCTGTCTTACAGTCTGAAGAGAAACACATCTCAGCAGTATGTACATTATATGTACAGAACAGACAGAATGGAGTCAGAGATGGTTATCTGTGCATTTCCTACATAACAGACAACACGTAACAGCAGGCCTCGTTATGACTCATCTTGCCCCCAAGGGCAGCAGTGGTACAGTTGTGCCCTGCACTGTCAGCTCAGATTAGAATCCTTGTACAAAAACGCCAAATAACCGTCACAGTCTTTCTGCTATTTTTACTTTTGCAAAATAAACACGTAGTTGAGTCCCCTTTTGCATACTTGTGTATAAATATTACCTCTCAGCTCCTCTGTTGTGACTGGAGTCACAATAAAAAGCTTGGTAGCTATGGTTACCATGCAACCACCCGCCCAACCCCCCACTGACGTTTTTTTTTACCTTACAAAGAGGGAGGAGCCAAACACAGTCTCTGAAAGTAGGGCTCCACAGGAAGTCAGGTCTATCTATAGTACATCAGCACAACAGAGCCAAACCACCAGTTGTGTGAAATTAACCAGAAACTCGGGGGCAGAATGGCTGCCTTGCTGTCTTGCACCAACACCCTCCTCTTCCTCCTCTCTGTGCAGTTCCATCTGCAGCATCTCTACAGGAGCCTGACGCAGAACGATTGGGATTGATCTGACGGTTGTGTGGGTAGCGTTCTTGTTGTTGCACTGAGGAAAACACTTCCTGCCTGTTAGCAGATGGGATGAGGATGTGTTGCACAGCGAAGTCGGGAAGGCAAACGTGCTCGAAACACACCATCTCAGATCTTCAGTCCTTGAGAGAGCAGCGAAAGCAAGCACAAACCAACCAACCCGGCTACGTCCCCGCAGCTTTCATTCAGATGTACAGAGAGCCATCCGCAGGTCCCACATAACCAACCCCAATCAAAAGAACATCGATCAAAGTCCAAATACCCAGGCCCCCGAAGCTGAACAGCTTGCCCAGACCCTCTCTCCACTGGCCCAGATAAAAACGATCTGCACCAAAACCCCCACGTGTAATGCTACAGACAGAGAGTGAAGAGAAAAAAAAAAAGAAAGAAAGACAAGCCAGAGATCATTGAAGCAAATAATAACATCAACAGAAAAAAAGTCAATGCTACAGACAGAGAGTGAGGAGGAAAAAAAAAGAAAGAAAGACAAGCCAGAGATCATTGAAGCAAATAATAACATCAACAGAAATAGTAGGTTTTTTTTTTTTACTTCAGTGGTGCCAGGTTTACCTGAGGGCTAATGCTGTCGACCATTTGTATCCTCCAGTCCAATCACAAAATAATCGTTTTGAAAAACGTCTTTTACCTATAAAATGAGGAAGACTTAATTAAAATCAAATCATTTACAGAACTTTAACGAGGCAAATTCAGGTAAGGACAGAGCTGAAAAGTCGTCAGAATGTGTGTGTGTGGTGAACCGGTGGTCTCACCTAAACAGTGTACATGATCTAACACGTCACAGGTGGCATTGTAGCGCTTGCGTGGGCAGGACACTGTCATACAGTTGGTGGAATTTGAGCAGCGATACTGAGAGGGATCCAGCTGCCAGCAGAACTGACAGGTGATGGAGAGAGAGAAGTTGGTTTGTTGTTGTCCCGACTCTCCCTGTACAAAACACAAAAAACAACAAAAATAACCACAAAGTTACTTTAGAGATAACAACAAGGCCTAATTACTAAAATGTTAAGTAAGTATGATTAAGTATGCTTCTGTTTTTATAATCTAACCCAGTGGTTCTCAAACTATGGTACGTGTACCACCAGTGGTACTTGTGGAAAATTCATAGTTTTTACATTTACATTTTCAACTGAATAAATGTAAAACACACCATGCACAATTAATACAACATTCAAACATAAACATCTTTATAAACATTTATAAACATCTCTCTTGAGTATAAAAAGTTTGAGAACCACTGACCTAAGCTATACTTTAAGAATAGAATTGGTGTCTTAAATCTAGAGCTGCTAATTGATGGAAAACACACATAACCACAATTATTTTAGACAATATTTAAATATTGAAAATACTGGAAACACATAGCAATTTCTTTTTATTTTCTGTTGAACTCTCCCTTCAAAGAAATGAAAGTTTAACATTCATTTACTGAAGAAAGAACAACAAAACCAAAACAAAACAAACAAGAGTAAAAGTTTAACATTCATTTACTGAAGAAAAAACAACAAAACCAAAACAAACAAGAGTTTATAACATTCCACATCTACTCACTATGCAGTGAACTCCTCTTTTGGTTTTACAGGTGAAAGATGCTGTTCTCCCGTAGGTGCAGTTGTAATGGTAGCTGCACTCCACACAGTCAGCAGGCAGACGACTACACAAACCCCCACTTGGACACTTTAAAGTGTAGTTCTCGTCATCCACAGGAGACACTGCAAAACAGCAATTGTCACATTATGGGAAAGCTGGGATCTCTTTTCATCCTCTAACACTTCATCATTTTCACTTTTTGTGGCGGCGCAGTACAACCTGAACCGTCGGCCTGTCTAATAAAGAGGCACACATGTAGACAATCATTCACACACTACCACTCCACAAAACTGTACATTTTCAGATAAATACAAATGTTATGTAATCATAGCTGAGGAGAAATTGAACTTTTATTTTCATATGCAAGTCAAAATGCGTAGCAAAAATGTAAATGTCTTGCTAAATTCGGAGGAAGGCACAGCGGGTGACCGACACTTTGTCCCCAACAAGCAGAACATGAAAACACTTTGTCGGCCATTTACTCCTGATTGCTGAAGTTAGCTGATTTCCATAGCAGCCAGAGAAAAGTGTTGCAGCTAAAACAAATCCAAAAGTGCAGATAAGAGTACAAAGTAGGCCTGTGAGAAATTTGTTTATCACTGTTAGTGATGTAGGCTTATCATGTTATACCAACATGTGTGTGTTTACCTGGTGATGCAGCAGGCACCACTGGGCTGGTGATGACAGGTCCATGCTGGGCATCTTTGGCGTAACGAGGATCCTGGTCTATGTGAGGTGAGCTCATGTACCCTGGAACAAAGAAAAAAATTATAATTACAGTTTATTTCTTTAACCATTGTTATGCCTCTGGCTGACATCCTTATGTTGACATTAGTTTTATAAACTAAATGCTAAATTCTTCTTTCTTTTGCTAGTAACATCACGATAGAACACCTGTCTACAAAATGTACATATAGCATCACATTATAAGAAAAGAGAAATGCATTATTAACCACATTAAAATAAGTGTAAATGAGTTGATCCATCAATGACAACAAAGCCAACAAAGTCTTCAAAAAACATTTAGGATGAGAGTCTGAAAATATCTTGGAATCCAGTACTGGCAAGTTTAGCTGTGGATAAACAGGTAATATTACAGAAGAGAGAAAAAATACTTTAATATCTAGAGAAAATATTTAATTTAAAGGATAAGCAAAGTTTTGAGGATGAACTTCATTTTGTGTTGAGGATTTGAGGTTGGGATAAATGAATATTCATTTACCAATACCATGTCATTATGGACATCTTTTTTGTTAGTGGTTTGATTTTCAAAAAGCAAAAATACAAAACGTAGTCCATACAAAAAGCACAGAGAATTATGTTAATCGACTGTTTTTAATACCTCAAGTATAACAGTGGCTGGTTGGTTGAAAAAACAATTCCAATTGGCTCCTTTATTTTTTAAGTTACTGTATTAACGGATCGATTATTTTAAATTATATATTAATATTTTACAGGCATTCAGTGCAGTACATATTTCCATTACCAACTAGCCCCAGCTTATGTTAGCTTTAGCTCGCTAGCTAACCAGGTAATGCTAACAGAGTATGGACAGAGGCTCAAACGTAGGATAACTAACGGGTCAGCTGAATCAAAGGTATCTCTGTCACGTTGTACATACCACTGACACACTGTAGGAGCAGGTCCATAAACAGTAGGCTGACAATTCCATAGGTTTTGACGCATCGTCCTCTGTCCGGTCTCCATATGTGACAGCTAGTAGCCATTGTTGCAGCACGATGGTGCATTCAGGTCGGGTAGGAAAATACTAAATCAGTGGTCTATTTCAGTGGCTTGCGCTTTAACAAACGATGACTTAAAATGTGCCCATGTTTTAAAATAATCTTGTGATACGAGGCAATTATATATCAATTATAATTGATTATAATTATATATATAATTATATATATTGTATATAGGGGACAGTGTTCTTTCCTGGGTAGTATTTCTAAAAAAAAAAGTCTAATTGAAGGTACACAGTGGATGAAAGATTTGTACTCTTGCCTGCAGGACCACAGGTTTGATCCCTGATGGTTATTAATGGTGTTTTGTATGTTTCCCTGAGTGTATACTGTACTGTATGTTCAAAACATACCTGGGTCCACCTAAACAGTAAGAAATTTAAGTTTTTAAAAGGCATACATTTTACTGTAAAATGAGTTAGTTAGCAGTAAATGGCGGAGTCAGTAGAATCTTCTAAATGTCATCCTCTAAGTCTAGTTAATAGACCTCTTCTTGAAGGTGTCTGAAATTAACATAAGTATTTTGGGATTGAGTAAATAAATTATGTTGCTTTTGATACTAAAATAAAAGTTTACTCAAATTCACAACTTCCACCTCAACTACAGGTCACGTCAAACCCAAGACTAAATGAAACCATTTTAAATTTTACAGCCCAGCACTGTGTTATTAAGTTGTTCACTGATGACACATTGTGTTGCAAAGGATGTGGTCAGTCACTGCCACTGTGAACGTTCAATTTCCAATTATTGTTGTATTTACTTCTTTGAATACTAATAGTTAACCTTCTATTATGTCCATTTTTCATGCTGTTTTGAAGTGCATGTTATTTCATTGATTACAAATTCCTGGAACGACTGCATGAAAGAGCCTAAAATGAACCTGCTGTGCTTTTTAATAAAAATTAAATACATTGAACTGCATAGAGAAAACATGAAAAAACCCACTTGCAGATGATATTTTAATGGCAGACATCAAAACTTAAACACTTCCCAAAACTTCCTTCATCCCTGCGTGTGGAAGACCTCCCTGTTTTTCTGCACCACACTTTCACAGCATCACTGTCACTGATACAACATTCTTTGCATTCTGTTTTTTGTTTTGTTTTTGTTCTCACTAAAACTCTTCCTCTGCGTTTCGACAGCGGGAGTCCTTGAGCAGGGTCAGGCGAGCCAGCACCTCAGCCACCGACAGTTCTCCGTGGACTTTGTTGTCCCTCGTGCGAACGTTGACACTGTTCGTCAGCTTCTCCTTCTCTCCCACCACTGCCAAAAAACACAAAAGGACAGCAGTTTCACAGGAGTAAACAGTTACCATAACACATTGTTGGCACATTCGCCAAGACTCTGCTAATTTTAGCCACAGTATTGTTACGGCGCCTGAAGTACATCTGCTGAATCGTCAACAAATAATACATTAAAAAAAAAAAAAAATCTGTTCAGCTGGCTGTGTTGACTGTATAGAAACTAAAATATTGGTATTTAATTCCATTTGGTTTATATAATATGTTGTTAATGAGAAGAAAATAAGCATAAAACACTAACCAAGAATGAAATTATATTGTGCCAACTGGGCATTTCGGATTTTCTTGTTCAGAAGGCAGCTGGAGTCCAGGTCAGCGTCTGTCATGAAACCAGCTTCTGTGAACTGCTTACACACCTGAAACACACACACAAAAAAACAGTCACTCGTAAAGTTCCTGTCTATGTAAATAATTGAGGAAAAACTGACACGGCAGAAACTACACTTTACCCGCTTTGCATAATCCTCACAGGACGGATTGACGGGAACCATCATCACCTGACGTGGAGACAACCACAGCGGCCTGCAGGGGGCGAGACATTAAAACTAAATATTTCCAAAGAAATAAAACAACCATAATCACACATTAAACCTCAGCTTGTAAATCATCAAAGATGAAAACAGTCCAGTCACCATTTCCCTGCGTAGTTCTCTGTTAGAATGGCAATCATCCTCTCCACTGAGCCCAAGATGGCACGGTGGATGATGACTGGTCTGGCTTTGTCATCTCCATCCTTCCTGTAAGACATCAATATTAGCATGACTACTAAGGGGCTCTTGTAAAATAATGCTCTTTAGAAAATACAGTTGAAGAGAGAAATAGGAAAGTTCAGTATCCTAAAAAAAAATCCCAGTTGGTTTTATGGATCTCCAACTTGTTACAAAGTATTTCTCAACATACAAGCTTTATGAAAAAACCCTGAGGTATTTTCTTTCTGCATATAAAAAAAATGGTTTCGTGATCATATCATTACGTAAACTGAATAATACGCTTTGCATTATGACATTTACATGTTGGAGATTGAAATGACAGTATTTCTAAAGACTCTTTTAAAAAGAAAAAAAAGAAGAAAAAAAAAAGCTTTTCCCACTTCCATCTCAGTTTAAGCAATTGTGCAGTTCAAGGTGTATTTATTTACTTGTATTGAATTTAGAATCAATACCAATTCGGTGCAATCAGTAGTAGAGTAATTTGTATAAAGATATTATCGTTAGCATAGCACTGCACTGAGAGATGCTAAAAATACACTCGTCGTGGCTCTCACTTTTGTTCATCGATTTGCATAAATAAAAACTCCTAAACACTCTGGACTAGAACATAATGTGGACACATACATACAGCACCCAGTTCCACTCAGTCACCCATACATTTACACTACGGTTCTTAAACTCAATAACTGCAGTTGTTCTATATAAATACGCTGAGCAGTTTTTTTCTTCATGAATAAGCTTTTATATTTTCACTTCTCATAATCACTGCTGAGAACTTTTTGTTCTCTCTTCCCCCCCCTACCCCCCCCCAAAAAAAGCACAATCACTGTAGAGAGCAGACACAGCGGTCAGTTTAAAGGATTCCTTCTCGTACGTTTAGCGGACTGAACTTCTGAACATTTTTGCATAATGCCATTCTTACTCACCCGACAAAGGTCAGGTCGAAGCGTATGGGCAGCTGGAAGTCCAGCTGAATAGTTGCACACTGGTGATACCGTCCAATCGCATCTTTGATCTTAATGTCAATCTGCAAAGGCACAGCAAGATTTAGAGCTATTACCAAAACCTATGTAAGGGAGTCAAGTGATTGAAAATTGCAATTTGACGGAAATAAATATGTTCTCACCTTAGGACCATAGAAGGCACCGTCTCCAGGGTTCAGTTTCCACGGCTCTCCAAACTCCTTCAGGCTGTTTTCCAGTTGCTGTCAAACGTGAATCATGGAATTTAAATTACGATTAAAATATTTGAAGCAGGCATTTCAGCCCCACCAATGGAGTATTAAGAGCATAACCAGAGTCCAGTCTGTATTTCACAGTCTTTATAATTTACATCATACAAAGGGAGCCCCTAGCAACTGGCCAAATCTAATGAGTGAACTCCAGCGACATGAAAGAGCTCAGACAACACAGGAGCAACAGGCCTTCAAGGAACTGTTATGACTCACACGACGAGAAGTCCACAGCATTTCATTTATTTTATTTACCCTCAATTTAGAAGCCAAGATTTTTGACAGTGTTTGAACAAATATTAGTTAAAAAAATATGTAAACTACAACATGGAGTTGTAACAACATTTATATTATTATTTATTTTTACCTCCTCAGCCTGGTTCCACACAGCAATGTCACCCAGGAACTTTTCTGGACGAGTGGAAAGATGAAGCTGGAACGAAAAGCCAAATACATCATAAACGCAGCGGAGGAAGTCCAGGCAGCCCTTCATCTCTGACTCTATCTGTAAAACAAAAAAAAAAAATCAAGACATAGGTATTAGTCAACATTAGACAAGGTGACAGAGCGATCTACAGCTTTCGCAAAAGAACCCGTGGTGCGATCACCTGGTCCATGGTACAGAAGATGTGAGCGTCATCCTGCTGGAAACGTCGGACTCTGGTGAGCCCGGTCAGAGTTCCTGACAACTCGTTTCGGTGGAGGACTCCAAAATCTGCGAGCCTCAGTGGCAGCTCCCTCCATGAGCGAGGCCTGTGGCTGAACATGAGGCTGAAGCAGAAGCACAGATGACATCAGTAAATGGGACTCTTATAAAATGAACTGCAAATTGCCGTTTACAGTGCACAAAAAATAAAAAATCTACCAGTGCCCGGGGCAGTTCATAGGCTTCAGAGCAAAGACATCGTCCTCCACAGGGAAGGAGAACATGTTGTCGCTGTAGTGCTGCCAGTGTCCAGACGTCTCCCACAGTTTACTGTTGTAGATATTGGGGGAGGCTACTTCCTGAAAGCCTCTGCGCCAGTATTCACTCTGCAAGACAAAAATATAGAATTCTTTTGGCTCATTCGTTCGAGGAGACGTTGGCCTGCAGTGATAACACGATGTTCAAAACTAACACATCTCTTTAAATTACAGCAAATGAAGTCATGTGATAACTATCTTGCACCATCTCTGTGCACTAGTTTTCTTGGCAACGACTGTTGTGTCAGTGTCTGCTGTGAAAGTCTTCAAGATGTCAAATACGTCAAACAGCCATGTTTCTGTGCATTCACTTCCCATGGTTTAGTTTACATTAGTAAATATGATAAACTACGTTAACCCTATGGTGTTAATAACACCGCCATGTTTCACCATCTGTAAGACTGAGCTCTCTGTATGGGGGATTTATAAAAAAAAAAAAAAAATACTTTGTCATAGATTTGAATTGTATGGGGAAACAAAACTTCTAACAACATCTAGTATTTCACTTACATAAGCAACGATCAAAGATTTTTTTATTTTATTTCCCTTTAATTTTCAACTGCACTGATCTGCTCTGGTCAGAGCTGAAGCTGAATACTGATGCTGTGAAAGACAATGTCTGTGTAGGTGCTCAGTCGTGCAGGTTCTCTTATCCAAAAATAGTTACATCGAGGGCAACTGGACGGAGGAGGGGTTTCTTGAAGACGTTTGACGTCTCATCCAAGAGGCTTCGTCAGTTCTTGAATGAGAGGTGAAACGTCTTCAAGACACCTACTCCGTCCAGCGCATGCCAATGATTTTAAACCATTAGTATGATGAAGGTAAACATGGTTCTGTCATCGTACCCTGATGAAGTCAGTGAGAGTGTTGTAGATGTAGGCACCACGTGGCATGAAAAAGCAACTGCCTGGACTCAGGTCGTGGAAGAAGAACAGCTCCTGGTCCTGTGAAACAGACAGAAAGAGAGGGAGACAATTCTCTGTGTGAGAAAATCTGTTTGATCTCTACAGAATGTAATTAAAACACAAGGGTTTTAATAAGATGTCTCCTCACATGCTTGACGTAATTTTATTGCATTATTTTTAAAACGGTTATTCAAACATTTAGTTGAAAATGAAGTTGAAAACGATCTGGCTGGAAAAAAAACAAAAAAACAACTTTCTACCTTACTTTATAACTGTATAATTTCGTAATCGTCAATCTTTTCTGAAGTGCAGTTGCAGACCACACTGTGCATGAGAAGAGGTCGTTCAAACTACACAGCTCCATCTTTAGGAGAACATGGTGATTTTTTTTTTTCCACCTCCCTGAAACTGGCATTGACAGCAATATAACTCGCTCCTTGCATTTAATAAGGAGTCATGTTGTAATCAGTGGTGATTGAGGTGCTGCCGTCTGCATCTCCCATGCTGTTGAACCAGCTGGGGCTCTCAGATGACTCACAGTGAGTGGAGGGTGCGTAAACACGGGAACACAGTGCCCCCCGCTGGCTAAATGCGGCAAGCAACGATATACAGCATGACGATGCGGTTTTTAATGATTGCATGTGGGACTTTATTTATGGTCATGTTAAATGAGTTCAGACTTGAATCCAGTCCAACTCAGTTGTTGGAGTTTTCTTGTCACCACAGCAACACAAACAGACGTGACTTTCAGCCTCAGCCATTGAGAAGAAGAAAAAGGGAAACGAGATCCTGTATCTCCTGAAGTGGTTGCAAAATACTTGTGTTTAAATTTGGAGTTGATGTTATTTTAAAACAAAGCCTATTTTTTTCTTCAGCGTTGGATTCATGGCACAGGAGAAGAAAAGGTCACCTGATGTAGTTTGCCTTCAGCAAATATAAATCAAAACACGTTTGGTTTTTTTTCTGGTTATGAACATGTTTGACTGAATACGGTGACTCACTTTTCCAATCTTGCGATGGTCCCTGTTCTTGGCCTCCTCCTGAAAACGTTCCCACTCCTTGAGCATCTTTGAGTCGGGGAAAGAAATCCCATAGATTCTCTGTAATGTTTCCATGTCAGAGCGACCCTCCCAGTAGGTGGACGAGTTCTGAAGAATTGTTTCAAATTGAAGAAAAAAAACCTATAAATATTCCAATTTTAAGCTAAAAATTATAATTAGATCATATTAAAAAACTTCAACATACCTTGTAAATCTTCATGGATTTGATTTTTCCCGTGTGTCTCACGTGGGGACCTCTACATAGATCAATCAAGGGGCCACATCTGTACAGAAGCACAGAGCCATAAGGCAGTGAGCTTCATGTTGTTCAGTTAAAACAAATCTCTCAAATACAGAACATCTTCTGACAAACAGACCTGTAGACGGTGGTGGTCGGGGTCGTGACTTTCTCTTTCAGGATGCGACACTTGAACTCATTGTACTGAATGAAATATTGGGGAAAATTAGAAGATTAGAAGTACATTGGGTTATCATTTCTGTTTGAAAAATTATCCTCTGGGAGTTTTTTTTTTTTTTTACCTTAAACATTTTCAGCAACGTCTCCTTGCTGATCTCAAGTCTCTCAAACGGCTGTTTTTCTTTCACCACGGCCTTACAGAGCGTCTCCAGGTCCGCAAACTCAGTGCTGGACACTCCCCTAGGATCAGATTCCACCTTTAAACAAACCCTTTTAGATTCCACTTTTTAACAAACCCTTTTACTGACGTTATGATTCCACTTTTTAACAAACCCTTTTACCGACGTTATCTGACAACAATTTGTAAAAACTTTTAAAGAAAAATAAGCTCTTCTTTAAACTGTATGACCTCTATAGGTCAGCTTCTCTTCTTACTTCTGTCCATCCAGGAACATGTCGTAGTAGAATCCATTCTCTATTGGAGGTCCATAACATAAACAACCTCCGTAGAAACGTTCCATTGCCTCACCCAGAATGTGAGCACTTGAGTGCCAATAAACCTGAACAAGACACATTTTAAATGGATTAATGTATTAATAAAGATCACTGATTTGACTGTAAACTAGTAAAAGTATTTGTAAATAAAAGTTCAGTAAACCCACTGCCTGAGCATCATCATTGTCAAAACGCAAGATCTCAAGAGAGCAGTCCTGTTCCAGAGGTCTGTCCAGGTCCCAGAGTTCACCGTTGACCCGTGAAATCACAGCATTGTCAGCTAGACCTTGGCTGAAAGACAAGTGGACCCAAAGTTTCTTAGCATTGCTGAGATCTAAAGGTCAAATAAATAAATTGTTTTTGTTCACAACATCCCTGTGGTGTAGGTGGACACTACATGTCTAACTGACCTGATTCCACAAGCACACTGGTACGGTGTTGTGACCCAGGCTTTGCCTGCCAGCTTTTGGCCATCGGGCAACTCCACAGTGATGGACTTTCCATTTGCAGCCTTTTTTGCCAGCAGGGCGTCGCTCTCTCTCTTCAGCTCCTCATAGAGACTAAGGCGTTCAGGTATGTAGGCAGGCCAGGGTTTCAGCTGTGGTTGAACAAAAAATTATATAGTGTTGCTTTTAACATATATACGATATAATAATACAACGTTTATATATTATATAAATAATACAATAAACTAATAAATAGCTTAACAATGTCACGGTTTTATACCTCTTTCAAACCACTGTCTCCTTGGACCTTTTCTTGCTTCTTCTCCTTCTTGTTCCTCTCACCAGATTTGTTATCAGTGGCTGCAACCTGTGAACAAGTGGGAAGAGCCACATCACACACATGCTGTTACACACACGGGGGCACAAAGCTATTTTAAGAAGTGGCGTTATATCTTGACAGTGTAATAGACCAGGGTCAGCTACTCACGACGGTGGCGTAACTAACATTCAAACGGAGGCTGCATTCACTGTTCATGACTTTACCTTGTTTTTATCCGGTCGGTTGACTGTCTGTTTCTCTTTGCTGCTGTTCTCCACAGATCTGTCAGACACCGCTCCTTGACGCCTCTTGCCTTTCGCCCCCTCAAGCTCCAGCTCCGCCTGCAGACTCCGGCGGAGGTGCACTAGCCGGTACCTGAGCTTCTCGTTCTCCGTTCGCAAGTTCTCCAGCTCTGGGGAAACCGGCGCATCTGCGCAGAAGGTCGGGCCATTGCTCAGTCCATCTCGGAGGGCGGAGATTTCCTTGGTGAGGAGCCGAATTTGGTCTTCTTGCGCCGCCAAACGTGCTGCCAAGCGCTCGGCCATCTTTAAATAGAGAAGAAGACCCCTGAACAGCTAACTTCCGGTGAGGGTGTGCAGATAGTAACGGTCCCCACTACACAAATTACATCTTGTTAAATGTCAGGTTTATAAAAACAATATATATTAAAAAACAGTTTTTTATCACTGCACTTTAAATTGTTTTATTACACAACTATTTAAATTGCAGTGATCACCAATGAACCACATGAACGTTAATCGCACGTTAAGGTATAAATGGGGAACAACATATGTTATCATATGTTAAAAATAAAAAAAGTGCATTTGTTTCTTTAATTTGCACCTGTCGTTATTTAAGGTCGACATGAGCAAATTTTGAAAAGCGTGATTTAAAAAGAAAAAAAAAGTCAAGGTTAAAATTTCTTGTCGTTCGAATCTATTTACGGTTGTTAGGGCAACAACCAATCAGAACGCATGACAATTTGTGACGTCGAAAGTTCTTACTTGTCAGTTCACGTTCTCAAAGCCACTACCATGGCAGGTGTTGGGAAAGTACTACAGTTTTTCTCCAGAGTGTTGGTTACCGATCTCAGTGATACAGTCATCGTGAATTATATTGAATGCTGAAGAGGATCGACGCATTTACAGTATCTATTTATTCATATCAAAACGGATTCCTGAGCTTTCAAATATTGTAGTGACGGGTTATTAACGCCAGGGGGCAGTGGCATGTTTTCCTATCATCTGCATTACAGCCTATAGCTGTAAACACTGCTCGTTCATTCATGTGCTCAGGATCTGTTAGCTGACGCTGCAGGTAAACAAATAGAACACAGACCAACTATGACATGTTTACACCACATCTCTGACGATTCTATTTACGTGTCTAGTTTACATGTGACCTGAACGGACGCTGCGTAAATTTAATTTTTGTAAGTTTACAGTACATGTTGCACATCACTTGCTAGCTAGTCGCTAGGTAACGTTCGCCAAACTCGACTCAGTAACTTGTCCATTTAAATCTCACTTACTCGTTTCTACGATACTTCAGTTGTTACAGCGAGAATTAAAGAGGTGAACAGACCTGCTGACATTCGGCGTCAATCGGGATAACCGAGGAGACTGTTTACTCTATTATTCAGAGCCACTGTGGTAATAACTTCCCGTCTTTTAGGTTTAACGTCTGTACTACGTGTCTCCCACAAATTCACGTCCTACGGATCGCAGTTCGCAATTCTAACATATTTCATTTGATTATTTTTCTATTTTCTTATCAGTATATACTGGTCGTATCACAAAGTATCATAGTTTCATAGTTAATTTACGTATACATTGATTGCTTACATTGCAGCCCCCCACAGCTTGGGACAATTTGATGTTGCCGTTGTCAGAATGGCCTCAGGTTCGAGCTTTGCCCCTCCAAAGTTGGCGGATTTTATCCTGACTGAGCGGCTGGGCAGTGGTACCTATGCTACAGTCTACAAAGCCTACAGGAAGGTAAACGTGTATTTAGATGATCCACAAAGTAAATCACAAAACACAAATATCCATATGTCAACAATCTGTGCCCTAAACACATATCACACACTTTATTGTTAGAGTTAATGATAATGAACCAACATTAACAGCAAGTAACTGGGTTTTTTAGTGTTAGGAAAAAAATGAATGTGCTTTTTACAAAGACTAACGCTCATTAACAGCAAGTAACTGGGTTTTTTAATGTTAGGAAAAACAAGTGCTTTTTACAAAGACTAACGCAATAACTTGTCCTTGTATTTTTGCAGTCGTTATCACATGCAGGAACTGATAGTATTTAAGTTGATTACTGTGGTTTATAGAGCTAATAGAGTTAATACATCT